TAAAGGCCTGGCTTAAGTGATAGAGCATAAGTGTAAAAAGCTAAGTGAGAGTATGAGGCCCAGAGTTCAAGACCCAATACTGGCACAAAAAAAGAAGAAAAAAAGTGAGGAGGAAGCCAAAGATGATTCAGATGTTCCTCAGTTACCTCTTTTTTTTTCTCCAATCCTAGATTCCTTACCGACTAAAGGAGTCTGACAGCGAATTTGACAGCTTTAGTCAAGTCACTGAATCACCAATAGGGCGGGAAGAGGAGCCACATCTCCATATGGTTTCTAAGAAATACCGCAAGGTGCTGGGGGGCATGAAGCAGGAGTGATGTAGGGAAACATGCCCTGGGAGGGTGTCATCATAGAAGGGTTTGAAGGACTTAGTCAAGAAGCCTTCACCTACCACTCTGGACCCAGGAGAGAGGTTCTTGGAGAGGCCGTGGTGACTGGGAAGATTTGAGGGCCTCTGAAGATAGCATTGTCTTGGGGCTGGGAAGGTGGCTTAGTGGTAGATTGCTTGCCTATTAAGCACTAAGCCCTGGGTTCGATTCCTCCATACCAAATAAACAAAAACAGCCAGAAGTAGTGCTGTGGCTTAAGTGGTAGAGAGCTAGCCTTGAGCAAAAGCAGCTCAGGGATAGTGCTCAGTCCGTGAGTTCAAGCCCCAGGACTGGCACAAAAAAAATAAATAAATAAAGATATCCTTGTCTTGCTCAGACTGTTTCTACCTCAGGTAACCATCAAATATTCCAAGCTAGGGCTGGAGGACTTTGACTTCAAACACTACAATAAGACCCTTTTTGCTGGATTAGAGCCCCACATCCCCAATGCCTACTGTAATTGCATGATCCAGGTAAGCACCGGGTATTCCTAGGACTTGAATATCCCTCCTTTGTTGTCCTCAGCCCCTACTCTGCTCTTTTAGGCTCCTTAACCAAACCTGGTGTACCTTGGCTTCCTCTACCATGCTTCTTACCTCTAAGCTTCCTCTGTGAGCTCTACTGCTTCAGTGGAGTTCTGCTTTGTATCCTCCCATCTCTTCTCCATTCCCTATTTCCTATACCAGTTCTGATTTTCCCTCTAGGTGCTCTATTTTCTGGAGCCTGTTCGCTGTCTCATCCAGAACCACCTTTGCCAGAAGGAGTTCTGTTTGGCCTGTGAGCTAGGCTTCCTTTTCCATATGTTGGACCTCTCTCGTGGTGACCCTTGCCAGGTCAGTGCCTGGAGATGGGGGACTCTTGAAATGGAAGAGGAAGGGAGATGGCCAGCAATCACTGCTATGCAAATAGCCACAAAAGAGAAAATAACCTCTTTTCCAGGGGAGTAATTTTCTTCGAGCATTCCGCACCATTCCTGAGGCCTCAGCCCTTGGTCTAATCCTGGCTGATTCAGATGAGGCATCAGGCAAGGGCAATCTGGCCAGGCTCATTCAGAGGTGGAACCGCTTTATTCTTACTCAGCTGCATCAGGACATGCAGGAGCTGGAAGTACCCCAGGCTTATCGAGGTGCTGGAGGCAGGTATGGAATTAGACAGGGATCATAAAGCCACCGTGCAGGACAGGCTCTCCTGGGACTTAATGGATCTTCTAACTTTCTTGGTGTGTATATATTGCCTTCGTCACTCTTAGCAGCTTTTGTTCATCGGGGGACTCTATCATTGGGCAGCTGTTCAGTTGTGAGGTGGAGAACTGCAGCCTCTGCCGCTGCGGCAGTGAGACCGTGCGAGCCTCATCCACCCTACTCTTCACACTCTCCTACCCTGAGGGTAGCAACTGTGGTATACCCTGCAGCTGGGTTGGGAAGGCTCCTCCAGATGTCCCAACACATCCCAGAGGAGTATTTGAGGGGGCGGGGATAAAGGGGACTAACTGTGGGTAGAAAGGAAAACCTGGAGTGAAGTATCCAATTTGCCCTCAGATAAAACTGGGAAGAACTTTGACTTTGCTCAGGTACTAAAGCGAAGCATGTGCCTGGAGCAGAACACACAGGCCTGGTGTGATAACTGTGAGAAATACCAGCCCACGGTGAGTGGTTGTTGCATTGGACTAGTGTCTTGCCATGTTAGAGATTTAGTCATCTGGGGGTGGCTGCATTAACACTGTTATCTAGGGATCTATGGGGAGCAGGAAGGAATCCCACGTTTGAGGCTTCAGATCCAGGATTTACTGATGCTGTCCAGGTTTTTTTCCCCTGTAGCCTCCCTTGTTTGTTTTGTTCACTCAGATTCAGACCCGCAACATCCGCCATCTGCCAGATATTCTTGTCATTAATTGTGAGGTGAACAGCTCAAAAGAGGCGGATTTCTGGAGGATACAGGCTGAGGTAAGGACCAGTGCTTGAACTCAGGGCCTCGTGCTCTTGCTCAGCTTTTCTACTTGTGGCTGGCATTCTACCATTTGAGCCATGCCTCCAGTCTGGCTGTTTGCTGGTTGTTGGAGTCTTGGACTTTTCTACCTGAGGTGGCATTGAACCTTAATCCTCCAGTCCTCAGCCCTGCAAATAGGGGTTTATATGAGTGAACTACCAGCACACAGCTTAGAAGCCATGTTTTTTTGTTTATTTGGTTTTGTTTTTGGTGCCTGTGCTGGGAGTTTGAACTCAGGGCCTTGAGCTTATTAGGCAAGCATTCTACCTTTTGAGCCATGCCCCCAGAAGCAGGGTTTTTGAAGAGTACTTTTTCTTTTCCTCCCTCTTCTTCTATATATGATTATGTTCTTTTGGAAACAGACTTTTTTCCTTTTGTGTTCAGGTTGCCTTCAAGATGGCCATAAAGAAGCATGGCGGGGAAATCAAAAACAAGGAATTTGCTTTGGCAGATCGGTAAGTATGGTCCTGGAAATTGGGAAAGGACTGAACCTACCCAGTGGTGCCTCTGTTCACTGGCTAGATGGCTTCAGAACACACTTCCAATCCTTTTGTCCCCATAGGAAAGAACTGGGGAGTCCAGAGGGGTTGCTGTTGTGTCCTTCCATTGAGGAATTGAAGAACGTCTGGCTTCCTTTTTCCATTCGCATGAAGATGACCAAGAACAAAGGGCTGGATGTGTGCAATTGGACTGATGGGGATGAGGTGCAGGTTATTGAAACACTGGGAAGAAGAGAGGGAATAAAGGAGAGAAGTTAGGGTAGAAGGTGAAGTGGGACAGGGGGAAGGTGGAACTTAGTAGAGGAAGAAGGAAGGGGACAAGGCCTAGTATTTTATCAGTTATGGGATTTTTTTCTAGTGTTGGGAGTCATAGATGGGTTAAGATGGAGATAACCTGCCCCGGCTCCCTATCCTTGTATCCCCTACTCCCTGCCCTCGATCCCCATCCCCTATGCTTCCCCATCCTTAAACTTAGCTTAGCAGCCTGGGTACCCCCCTCACAGTGGGGCCCAGCCAGGGCAGAGGAGGAGCATGGTGTCTATGTGTATGACCTGATGGCTACTGTGGTACACATCCTGGACTCACGCACAGGGGGCAGCCTGGTGGCTCACATCAAAGTTGGAGAGACCTACCACCAGCGCAAGGAGGTAAGTGAGGTGCTCCAGGGCAAGGGTCCTGTGGATGGCCACGGTGGAGTCCTAAGTCTATTTTAGAGTCCCTAGCAGAGTGGTCCAGCATCAGTCTTTCTTCTTTGGTATCAGTCTTTCTCTGTATCTGTACAGGGCGTTACTCACCAGCAGTGGTATCTCTTCAATGACTTCCTTATTGAACCTATTGATAAGGTGAGTTATAACATGTTCCATCCCCTTTTCATCTTCCCTTTTGCCAGCATCATCATCCTCACGGAGGATGCTTAGCATCCCTGTCAAATGCCACGATTATTCAACAGGGAGAGAATGATCTTGGGAATATAAAGATTCAGCAGAATTAAAAGTAATACTTGGGCTGGGCATCAGTGGTTCACACCTATAATCCTAGCTACTCAGGAGGTTGAGATCTGAGGATCACAGCTCAAAGCCAGCCTGGGCAGGAAAGTCCATGAGACTCGTATCTCCAATTAACCACAAGAAAACCAGAAATGGTGTTGTGGCTCAAGTGGTAGAACCCTCACCTTGAGCTGAAGAGCTGAGGGACAGCGCCCAGGCCCGAACTTCAAGCCCCACAACTGACAAAAAAAAAAAATGATAATGCTGGGGCTGGGAATGTGGACTAGTCTAGCAGGTGGACTTGTCTAGCATGCATGAAGTCCTGGGTTTAATTCCTCAGTACCACATAAACAGAAAAAGCCAGAAGTAGCCCTGTGGCTCAAGTGGTAGAGTGCTAGCCTTGGGTAAAAAGAAGCTCAGGGACAGTGCCCAGGCCCTAAGTTCAAGCCCCAGAACTGGCACACACCCCCAAAAATACATAATCAAAATGGTGGGCTGGCAAGGTGGCTCAGTGGTAGAGTGCTTGCCTCACATGTATGAGGCCCTGGGTTTGTTTCCTCAGCACCCCATAAGCAGAGAAAGCCGGAAGTGGCACTGTGGCTCAAGTGGTAGTGGGTTTGCCTTACACTGAAGAGCTGAGGGACAGCACCCATGCCTGGAGTTCAGGCCCCACGACTGACCAAAAAAAAAGGTTTTTCTTGGACTGGGAATGTGGCTTAGTAGAGTGCTTGCCTAGCATACATGAAACCCTGGGTTCCATTCCTCAGTACCACATAAAAAGAAAAAGCCACCGGGCATTGGTGGCTTCACAACTGTAATCCTAGCTGCCCAGGAGGCAGAGATTTGATGATCCAGGTTTAAACCAGCCCAAGCAGGAAAGTCTGTGAGACTTTTTTGGTTGTTTTTTTTTGGGGGGTCCAGTCATGGAGCCTGGGCTTGGGCACTGTCCCTTAGCTCTTCAGCTCAAGGCTAGTGCTCCACCACTTGAGCCATAGCGCCACTTCCGGCTTTTTTCTTTTTTGCTTATGTGGTGCTGAGGAATCAAACCCAAGGCCTAAGGCATGCAAGGCAAGCGCTCTACCACTGAGCCACCTTCCCAGCCTGTGAGCTTTTTTTTTTCATGGACTTTCCTGCCCGGGCTGGCTTTGAACTTCGATCCTTAGATCTCAGCCTCCTGAGTAGCTAGGATTACAGGTGTGAGCCACCAGCACCCAGCCACGTCTGTGAGACTCATATCCAATTAACCACCAGAACACTGGAAGTGGCACTGTGGCTAAGTGGTAGAGTGCTTGTCTTGAGCTGAAGAGCTGAGGGACAGTGCCCAGGCTCAGAGTTCAAGCCCCACAACCAACCAAAAACAAAAACAAAAGAAACAATCCTGAAGTGGTTCTGTGACTCTAGTGGTTAAGTACTAACTTTGAGTAAATGAAGCTCAGGGACAGTGCTTAGGCCCTGAGTTCAAGCCCCAGGACTGGCAAAAATAAAAAATAAATGGCTTTCCCCCCCACCTCCCGTTTTTTTTTTTTTTTTTGGTTGGTCATGGGGCCTGATCTCTGGACCTGGGTGCTGTCCCTCAGCTCTTCAGCTCAAGGCTAGAACGCTACCACTTGAGCCAGAGTGCCACTTCCGGCTTTTTCTGCTCATGTGAGGAATCGAACCCAGGGTCTCATGCATTCAAGGCAAGCACTCTACCATTGAGCCATCTTCCCTGCCCTCTCCCCCCATTTTTTCCTTTTTTCTTGCAATGCTGGGGATTGAACTCAAGGCTTTATTCATGCTGGCTTTGTTCATCATTGGTTTATACCTTCAACCCTGTTTTTTGTTTCCTTCTCTAGCATGAAGCTGTGCAGTTTGACATGAACTGGAAAGTACCAGCTATCCTTTATTATGTCAAAAGAAATCTCAATTCTAGATACAACCTTAACAGTAAGTGTAGCAGTTAAATTAGACAGTGTGGATAGTTTAAAGTGGACTTCAGGAAGACATCTGGGAAATAATGTTCAAGAATGCTTACTCGTGTTAATATTGCCAGGGATACTATATATACCCTGCTTATCAGACCTTACATTTTGAAGCTGGAAACCCTAAGGATGGAATAGGGAAGTAGAGGAGGTTTGGTCAATATAAGTTAGATTTTTTTTTTTTTTAGTCTAATCGGTCTTTTTTTTTGTGGTCTAAGAATTGAACTTAGAACCTGGGTGCTGCTGTCCCTGAGCTTTTTTCTTTTCTTTTTTTTTTCCCTCAAGGCTAGCACTCTACAATTTGTGCCACAACTCTGCTTCTGGGTATTTGGTGATTAATTGGAGATGAGTCTCACAAATTTTCTTGCCTGGGCTGGATTCAAACCATGATCCTCCAATCTCAGCCTCCTAAGTACTACTGAGTAGCTAAGATTACAGGTGTGGACCACTAGTACCCAGTATTTTTTTTTTTTTTGTGCATGTGTGTCCCAGTCCTGGAGCTTGAACTCAGGGTCTCTTGCTCTGTCTTGGCTTTTTTTGCTCTAGGCTGTTGTTCTGCCACTTGAATCATACCTCTACTTCTGGCTTCTACTGGACAACTGGAGATAAGAGTCTTGGATTTATTTGTCCAGGCATGCTTCACTTCACACTTGAAATTTCAGATCTCAAGCCTACTAGTTAGTTAGGATTACTGGTATAAACCAACAGTGCCTCTTTTTTTTTTTTTTGGCAAGTCCTGGGGCTTGAACTTAGAGTCTAGGCACTGTCACTGAGCTTTTTTGCTCACTTGAGCCACAGTGCCACTTCCAGCTTTTTCTGTTTATGTGGCACTAAGGAATTGAACCCAGGGCTTTATGCATGCTAGGTAAACACTCTACCACTAAGCTACATTCCCAGCCCAACAGTGCCCATTTTTATCCCTAAGAGATGCTTTCTCTTGTAGATGAGCTCCTTATGTAAGTTCCCCATTTGGTTCCTTAAAAACCATACGTTTTCTGTAACTTTATTTTTCTTTTCTTTTCTTTTTTTTTTCGGTCGTGGGGCCTGAACTCTGGGCCTGAGCACTGTCCCTCAGCTCTTCAGCTCAAAGCTAGCACCTCTACCACTTGAGCCACAGCTCCACTTCTGGCTTTTTCTGCTTATGTGGTGCTGAGGAATCGAACCCAGGGCCTCATGCATGCAAGACAAACACTCTACCACTGAGCCACCTTCCCAGCCCCTGTAACTTTATTTTTCTAAGTTTTTTTTTTCCTTTTTTTTTTTTTGGGTCCGGTT